TGCATCCCTTCCCACGACAGCAAGAAACGGGGCTCCTTGTTGCTCTACTGCGCCGCTGAGCCTGGTCCTCGCACATTTTACCATCAAACGAAGCCGGCTTCCGATTAGACAACCAATCGATTAGACAACACAGCGATAATGGGCTTGTTCTCCAAGAAGGCTCCCGCCGAGGAGCAGGTGGCCGTTGAGCCAGCCGAGCCCCTGCCGGCCGGCGATGAAAAGTCGCTGAGAAACACAGCCGAGAAGTCCAGCGAGGAGGACCTCGTGGGCAAAGATGTTCAAGCTGGTGTTGCCAAGGTTGAGGGTATGACGGCCGTCTGGACGAAGCGTGACCTGATCATTGCCTACGTCTTGTGAGTAGCTCGAGTGGAGGCTCTTGGTAACCTATTACTAACAATCCATTCAGCATCTGGCTCTTCTACGTCGTCACCGCCATCCAGGAAGTTTCCATCCGTGTGTTGACGCCTTTCGTCACCAGCAGCTTCTCGCTGCACTCTCTGACAGCAGCAACGAGCATCATGTCAACTCTGATCGCTGGCCTCATCAAGCTGCCCTTGGCCAAGATTCTCGACACCTGGGGCCGTCCTCAAGGTCTCTCCTTGATGCTTGTATGCTGGATGCTCGGTTTCATCATGATGGCGGCATGCAACAATGTCCAGACTTATGCCGCCGCACAGGTCTTCTACTCCACAGGGTAAGATACCATCTTTCCATCAGCCGAATCAGCGGCTAACTTGCACATCACAGAGCCCAGGGCCTCAGCTACTGCATCACCATTTTCATCGCCGATACCTCAACGCTGAAGAGCAGAGCCCTTATGCTGTCATTTGCCACGTCGCCTTACATCTTCCTGACTTGGGCCGCTGGGCCGATTACCGAGAGTCTTCTCAAGGAGGGCGGTATTGGCTGGCGCTGGGGTCTGGGCATCTGGTCCATCGTTGCACCCGTCGTGATTTGCCCTCTGGTCGGTCTCTTTCTCTGGAACCAACGCAAGGCTATCAAGCAGGGCGTCATTCAGGACCGCGGCGCCATCAAAAACATCTCTCTTGCCAAAGTCAAGGCGTTCCTCATTGAGGTGGATGCTTTGGGCATCCTCATTCTTGCTACCGGCATGGCTCTTTTCCTCCTGCCATTCAGCTTGTACTCCTACCAGGCCGACGGCTGGCGCTCCCCCATGATCATCTCTTTCATCATCATCGGTTTCCTCCTGATCATTCTCTTTGCTGTCTATGAGAAGTTCTGGGCCCCAGTCACCTTCATTCCTTTCTCCCTGCTGATGGACCGAACCGTCTTCTTCGGCGGATTGATGTTTGTCTTCCTGTTCTTCAACTCGGCTGTTTGGGGTTCTTACTTCACCTCCATGCTTATGGTCGTCTGGAACACCTCTGTCTCACAGTCTACCTACATCGGCAACATCTACCGCACCGGATCCTGCGGTTTCTCCCTGATCATTTCTGGCTTGATCTACAAGACCGGTCGTTTCAAGCCATTCGCTCTCTTCTTCTGCATCCCTCTTATGATGCTTGGTGTTGGCCTCATGATCTATTTCCGTCAGCCGGACAAGGACATTGGATACGTTATCATGACCCAGATCTGTAAGTTGCCCGTTGCGTCGCAAGCATCTTATCTTACTAACTTATTCAGTTGTTGCTTTTGCGGGTGGCCCTTCCGTCATTTGCGGAGAGATGGCCATGCTTTCTCCCTCCGACCATCAGCATGTGGCAGTCATCTTCGCCGTTCTCGATCTGTTTGGCAGCATTGGCTCCACGGTTGGATACACCGTCGCATCAGCCATTTGGACCGGAACCTTCAAGAAGAATATTGCGAAGTACACGCCCGCAGGAACTCCTGTTGACCAGATCTACGGAGATATCTACTCGCAGCTCGGCTATCCTGTCGGATCTCCTGAGCGCATCGGAATCCAGCGTGCTTACGGCGACTCGCAGCGCATCATGCTCATCACCAGTGTGTGCCTGTTGGTTGGTGCACTTGGCTCCGTCGCCATGTGGAGAGACATCAACGTCAAGAAGGTGAAGCAGGTGCGCGGAAACGTTGTTTAAGTGGAATGGTGCGGCATATGATACCCCTTTTGTATGGCGGAAGCCGTTCGCATCACGAAGAAAACAAGTCCCTAAGTTGAGACTACATATCTCAACGGACTTCCATACTATATATCTTATTTAATTGATGGGATGTGGATGACAGTTTACCGAACATTACTCTAGTGCTCGCTTGTCCCGTTGTCTTCGCCTATGATGTCTCCCTGACAGAAATCTTCCACAATGAGGGCAGTCGACGATTCCTTTGGAAGATCGGCCGCGTGGGCTGCATTCATCCAGCGAGCCGGTGCTACCGGGGTATCACTTCCGGCCACGCGGCGACTGGCTTGGCGAACAAGGGGCTGGCACATGGCGACAGCGTGAGGATCCAAGTTGATCAAAGGCGTTCTGCCTGTCCTTCACGTCTACGTCGTTACCTCAACGGATGATATAGAATTCTCGCATGGCGCAAAGACACTTTTCCAATGCCGTCACTTTTCGAGCGAGAGGGACAATTTCGGCACGAACGTCGACCATCTTTACCCCAAACAGGACCAATGCTACCCAGGCCCTATTTCACCGTCTTGGCACGCGCTCAATCCCCCGCGATTACCAGCATCCAGCGCATGCAATTCTGCAAGAGAAAGAATTTCCTCCATTGACATGGCGAATTGGGAGTGGATCGATTACGCCTTCATTATTGATATGTAGTTGCACACAAGAACAGCACGGCTTTGGAGTAGGCTATGCCATTCCAGCCCATGAACCCGGCCGAATGGCGGCTCACCGAGGGCAAGATAACGAGGGTATTGCCACGGTATTAATATGAGACTTCCATTCTCCTTCTCCACCGTCTTTGGCTTGATTATCAGCGGCGGCTTGTCTACTCTCTCCCGTTAACCCATTCCCGGAGTTGGTCCTCACCTCTCACACGATGCGTACTTCCCTCTCCATCCTCGCTCTCACGAGCAGCCTCGCCCTCACCAACGCAGCCCGCGCCTACTCGGAATGGCTCGCCTCCTCCTTCATCGACCGCCAAACCCCCATCGACGCAGGCTACGGCCCCGCCGTCCTCTGGGAAGGCATCGCCCGCGCGGGCGCCCACATCTCCCCGACCTCGCCCCTTCTCAAAGCCGCCGAGGCCAAGGTCTCGTCGCTCGTCAGCGCGGACGGTACGCTCGACGGCTGGGACCCGGAGTGGTACTCCCTCGACGACATCCGGATTGGCAACAACCTGCTGTACTTCTACCAGCGCTCCGGCGACGCGAAGCTCAAGACCGCGGCGGACGGGCTGCGGCAGCAGTTGAACCGCTGGCCGCGCACTCCGAGCGGCGGGTTCTGGCACCGCGCGCCCATCTACGAGGACCAGATGTGGCTGGACGGGATATACATGGCGGACACGTTCTACGCGACGTACGTCAGCCTGTTTGAGAGGGAGAATGTCACCGCGTGGGAGGAGATTGCGCTGCAGTTCGACCTGATTGAGGAGCACTGCCGCAACCACACGAGCAACCTCCTCGTGCACGGGTACGACGAGGCGAAGGATGCCGTGTGGGCGGATCCCGTCACCGGCGCGAGCCCGCTGGTGTGGAACCGCGCGGTGGGATGGTACTTCATGGCGCTCATCGACACGCTGCAGGTGTACCCGACCAGTCTACCCGGGTATGCGCGGCTGCTGGGGTACTTGGTGACGTTAGCGGACGGGCTGGAACGCAGCCAGGACGCCGGGGGCGGGTGGTGGTTGATCATGAACGAGGGGTACGAGACACGTAAGGGGAATTACATTGAGGCGAGCGCGACGGCCATGTTTGCGTATGGGCTGTTGCGCGGCGTGAGGGACGGGTTGCTGGAGGAGAGGTATAAAGCGGTCGGGCTGAAGGCGTATGAGTTGTTGGTGGATGAGTTCGTGAGGGAGGACGGGAACGGGACGATTAGTTTCTTGGGGACGGTGCAGGTTGGGAGTCTGAACTCGAATGCGAGCTTTGAGGTAAGTTATTCGCTTTTCGCTTCTGTGCCTGACTTGGCTGTTGGGAATGTTGCTAATGAGTGTTCGCGCAGTACTACACGAGTATCCCGCTCGTCGAGAATGATGCTAGAGGGTCTGGGGCGTTTTTGTTTGCTGCTATCGAGGAGGAGCTTCTCTAGGCCAGACGCGAGGTCCGACTGCTGAATGACGCCAGTGTGTCTTCGAATAAGGCGTAGCTAGAGAACCTGCTCTGAGTAATGGACAGCATGTGAGCTTGTATTATATTCTGTAGATATCTAGAAGAATTACAGAATCACTTTGGACCATATTGGCTTCATGCAGCAGCTTCAGAGACAACAACATAATAATGCAAGTCTTTAGTGAGGCCCACAACTCACCAACGTGCAAAATAATTCATCCGCAACTGAGTTCATCCCAAATCTTATCCTTCGGACTCCGCATCATCTTTTAAACGATCTTAGTCATTCCCGTTGATCCTTTTTCGAACGTTCTCGGTCGCGAGTTATCGACATTGTTTCGTGGGTCAAACCACCCCGCTACGGGATCAGAGGGGGGCGGCGGATGATGTCATCCCGACATGATCCTCACTTGCTCCTTTTCGTCCCGAAAGGGAGCAAGACACGGTTCTCCACGCGGCGGCTAGGACATCAGCATGATTCACATCGCTACGTCATTCAGGCACGTTCTAGAACTTTGAATTGAGGCGTTTTATTTCTGTTTAGTGGGCGCGCGTGGAAAAACGCACAAGTCCCTGCAGCATTGGATCTGAAGCATTTCTGTCCTTATCGATACCCATTCCAACGTCAACAACCTAATAATTATCGTGTCGCACCTAACAAGAGACACTGCCTTGTTTAACGTCGCACGATCTACCACGCATACGGTTTAGCAAAACTTTAAACATACACCTAATGGCGTCGCACGCGGAAGAGCGCGCAACGCAACCAACGGCGCCGCCGGCAGCGAACCCCGCAATGACGGCGCAGGAGCCCGGGCCCTCGAAGAACCCCGCTGCACCCACCGAGAGCTCTGCCTCCGAGACGGAAAGCAGCTCCCAAGACTTGAGGAACCAGGTCGCGGCGCAGCAGCAACAGCAGGGAGTTCGTCGTCGGGAGGGGCGGCAGCGGCAGGTGTACGAGTACCAGCAGGGAGAAGACGGGTCCACCGCGCAGCAGGTTGCGCCGCAGAACGGGCAGCAGGTGCAGGGCAAAGGCAAGGGGGCGCCTTCGGTGCGGCTTGATATGGATCTTGATGTCGATATTGAGCTGAAGGCTAAGATCCAGGGCGATTTGACATTATCGATACTGTGAGTGCTGGATCCGTTGAGATGAGGTGAGTTGACACTGACGACGTCGTAGGGGAGGAAACCAGGAGAAGAAGAAATGAGTGGATGGATGAGAATGGGTTACGATGGTATGAGATTAATGTAATCATGTATTTGTATGAGTTGCATGTGCAAGTGTCATTGTGGTAAGGCGACGCTTAGCAAAGGGCACTGTATATAATGAGAAGGGCAGGTTGAAAGTCACCAAATTGAACACACAACATCGGTCGCTGCGTTGCACATGATTCTTCATATAAAAATGAGATTGACTCTCATTACACCAACGCAACTGCCCTCATTCCTGATGCAGATCCTTCCTCATAACCCCCTTCAAACTGTCCTCCGAAATCGTAATATACTTCTCCGGCGCCACGCTATCCTCAAACGGCACCCTCAACCACTCGTCCGCCTGCACGATCTTGCCCTCCCGCAGCTTCAGATCGATCACGCCCGAGTACTGAAACGGCAGCCCCGTCGCCTTGCGCCGCCCGAGGTCGTTGACGAAGACGCCCTTGTTGACCGTCCGGAAGCTGCAGTACCCGTTGCCCCGGTCGTCGAGCTGCGCCCAGTAGACGGGGTACTGCGGGTCGAGCCACACCGCGAAGTCGTCGTGCGCGCCGTTCCAGTGCTTATGGTGCCGCTCGAGGAAGGCGAAGGGCACGTGGATCTGCGCGCCGTGGTCGGTCATGACGGAGTCGGGCGCGAAGAGGGCGAGGAGCGGGGCTGGGTCGCGCGAGGCCCAGGCGCGGCAGTATATCTCGGGGAGGTTTTTGAGGTCGGTCATTTTGAGATGGGGGAGGTTTGGCACGTGAGATTGGTGGTTTGGCGTCGAGTTTGTGGTGTCTTGGGCAGTAGGTTTTTGACTTGAAGGCTGCAGAGCTGAGAACCGCAGTCACCAGGAGTCGTTCATCTTGCAGCTGCATCCATCCTTTAAGTTCACGTTGATGATTGTGTAATAGCTCGGATGGGTGTTTGGGGAAGATCCGGCATCCAGTGGTGAGTGAAACCGGAGATGTGGATCAGATGAAGGTGCGGTTGCGGTGTTGCGACTATGCACTGTCCCGGGTTAACGAAACGGGTCTTCCGGGGTGTCTCGGGGGCCGGAATGGTGGCTGGGGGATCTCGGCCGGAGGACGGGGATTTGAAGAGCGAGTGTGGCACCGAGTCGCGGCATGTTGGGTGTAGGTCATTGATCCCCGACGCGCACGATGCGAGCTGGGACCGAGAATCCTGTATCAAACCGGTTTGTAAGCGGATTCACGCCCGAAACTCCGAGATTCGTTGTGTAGATATGAGAACGTGCCAGGGGCACGGCTTATCTTGCCGTGCTACAAGCACAAGTTCCCTGTTCGCAAGGTTGCGTACATCGGACGACACGAGGCACTTACCTCATCACTAACGACAACTTCAATCGTATTTCCATAGAGTGAATGGCCTCTTGAGCGAACCGGATCTTTGGGTCGTATATGAGAGTAAACGCTACCAGACACTAAAAACGATTGATATAGATACTTCCCGTTGCGTTGCTGGTGCCTTGCTATTCATCAAAATCTACTATTGCATCATTCTAAACTTCGGAAATGCCGGCAGTGAGGGAAGCTACAAGGCGCAGCTACGAGGTATTTACCCCAGAATTCCCAGCCCAACACTAGTAGGCGTAGAAAGACTGACTGTTTGAAGGATGCCATCAATCTGTTGAACTCGACGCAGTCAGGTCACAAGGCCCTGGAAGAAAGGCGGCGTCATGGTCAGAAGCTAGATGGAGGCGCATTGAAGCAGATGAAGTACTGGCTTGGATGCCTTGGCTATACTGTGATCATCCCAGAGCCCCGTCAATGAATCCTGACTGACTATCGAGCCTCGCGATCTGAACCGCATGAACATCGTCCACGTCGCAGGGACCAAAGGTAAAGGGACTACGTGCGCATACACGAATTCCATACTTCAAAGCTTCCACAACGAGTCAAGCGTACCACGAAAGATTGGTCTATACACATCTCCGCATCTCGTATCAGTACGAGAGCGAATAAGACTCGACTCAAAGCCTATCTCAGAGGAGCTCTTCACTCAATACTTTTTCGAAGTATGGGATGCTCTATCTGCAAAACAGGAACTGGGTTATGAAGAAAAGCCGACTTACTTCCGATTCTTGACTCTTATGTCATTCCACGTCTTCATGCAGGAGAAAGTTGACGCAGCCATCTACGAGGTCGGGGTTGGCGGTGAGCTTGACTCGACAAATATCATCGATCAGCCGGTTGCAGTTGCCATCACGACGCTGGGTATAGACCACGTCCAGACTCTCGGTACCGCGATTGAGCAAATCGCATGGCACAAGGCGGGGATAATGAAAAGGGGGTGCCCTGCTTTCACCGTAGGTCAAGACGCTGCAGCGATGAAGGTTTTGAGTGACAGAGCAACCGAGAAAGGGGCAAACCTGATGAAGATCAACCCGGTACCGGCCCTTGGAGAGATCAGCATTTACCCAGACGAATCTTTCCAAAAGAGGAACGCCTCCCTTGCTATTCACCTGGCAGGGGCCATTCTTCAGAGATGGGGAGCACCTATTTCATGGGGCCTTGATTATCTCCCAAGCCAGGTTAAACGTGGATTGGAGACCATGGTATGGAGAGGCAGATGCGAAAGAAAGATTACGGGAAATATTCGCTGGCATCTAGATGGGGCTCATAATGAGCAAAGCCTCCAAGTCGCTTGTCGGTGGTTTGACACGGCCACCCGGAACTCGTGAGTTGCACTGTTCCTCTTTCCATCTGCTGCCAATTTTAATCATTTGCTGTAGGAATCTTCCGTGTGCACTGATTTTCAACCAACAGTCCACGAGAGACGCCCATGCTTTGCTGAAAGTGGTGCACGAGAGCCTGTATAAGGCCAACAAGTCTAAGTTTCGATATGTTGTGTTTTGCACCAACGTCACTTTCAAAACCCGACAGTCCAAATCTGGTACGTGACCCCGTTTAATACTTCTTTGGTCTTTGCCGCCGACACTGATGATGAAGATCTCACCAACTTCAACGTCAACCCCGCAGAGCTCAAAACTCTCCAGGCGCAGAAGGAGATGGCAGAAACATGGAGACGCCTCGATCCTGTTGCTAGGGTGCTTGTGGTTCCTACCGTTGAGGATTCTACCGACTTCATACAGAACATTGGCGGCGGGGGTCCAGAGACTAACGTCTTGGTTACTGGGAGCTTTTACCTTGTCGGAGGTTTACTGTCATTGCTTGAGGACACTGTCTCTTGAGACGACATTCTGAAACCCATACTCCCAAGATATTCGAAGAAACATATGTGCTTGATTGGACAATATACAGAGCAGTCGCCCAAGTATGTACAGCTAGAAGAACCCTGACCCAAGAAACCCAGTCTACATCCAGCGAGCCAGTGCCCTCCCTATATACCATGTACCCAATACATAACCGAACCTAGCAGATGCGTTCTGCTACCTCATGAAGCGAGCTGATTAACAGCCAGAAGTCTTGACATTGGTCTCGGAGCAGACATTGGGGTCGTTAGGCGCATCCCCAGGCTCGCCGCCGCCAGTCACACCCTTGGAGTTCTTGCACACGGTCGCACCGCCCAGAATGCAGGCTCCGTTGACAGTCGCCTTGTCGCCCAGGTTTCCGTTGACGTGGACGATGGTCTTGGCCCCGTCGACGTAGATGTTGGTGAAGGTCGACGTGCGCGCCGTCTGCTCCTTGCAGTTGCCGCAGGAGCGGTACAGCTGGCCGATGTTCTGCGCGTAGAAGTCGATGACCTCGACCTCGCCGCCGCCGTTGTGCTGGAAGACCTTGTCCGAGCCGCCGCGCGCGCCGCCGCCGCGGACCGTCGACTTGCCGCCCGTCTGTCGGAAGGTGGCTGCGTCTTCGCAGACCTTGTCCCACCAGCTGCAGGATCATGTCAGTCTAACAGGTCAGGAGGATGGGGGTGTATATCGTGGGTTACTTACACGTTCTCGAGCGTGCAGCTGCCAACACACTGGACACCTTCACCGGCACCGCCTCCGATGATGGCATTGCTCAAGGTCGCGCCGTCCTCGAGGATGAAAGCGGCGTCGTTGCGGTTTCCTTCGCCGCCGGTGCAGGTACTCGGGACGCGGTCGTACAGCTTCATGCCTCCGTCAAAAGCGCCGGTGATCTTCTTGACTGCGGAGAGGTTCTCGGTGCCGGCGGGTGTGGGGAAGGTCTTTTGGAGTCCGCCGCCACCGCCGCTGCTGCCGCCACCACCTCCCGGAGTTGTGCCGTTGTTCGCCGAAGATCCGCCTCCCCCAAGGTAGGCGCCGCCGCCTCCGGAGCTCGAACCGCCGCCGCCGCTGCTGCCGCCTGACTTGCTGCCACCAGAACCAGACCCAGATCCAGATCCAGATCCAGAGCCAGAGCCGGAGCCGCTGCCTTTGTCCTTGTTCTTATCCTTGCTCTTGTCTTTGCTCTTATCTTTGCTCTTGTCCTTGCTCTTGTCCTTCGTCTTGTCCTTGGACTTATCCTTGGACTTATCCGTGGAGGGGTCGGCTTTGGAGCCGACGTCGCTGCCGTCGTCCTCGCAAGAGCCGTTGTTGCCCGGGCCGCCGCCGCCGGGCCCGGCGAAGCGGACCTCGACCTTGGCCTGCTGGGGCGCCATCACGGCACGGGCAAGGTGTCCGACGCCGCCGATGTGTCTGCGGGCCGGCCGCTCGGCGTCACGACCACCAGGGTTGATGGGGTTCGCAGCACCCAGTGCGGCAAGGGTGAAAAGGACCAGCCTGGAAGCCATTGTGAAGTTTGTGTTGAATGGCGGTAACGTGTGGTTATTGGAACTGGTAACTTGAGGTTGGTGAAAGAAAGGGGGGGGAAGTTGTGAAAAGGAGAAAGGAAAAAGGTGTTGAAGGTTGAATGAAAGAAACTGTTTGGCGATGAGGCCTGCCGAAAAGAAACATGATGAGATGGAGGGTGATGAAGCAGGCTTATATATAACCATGATTTCTTGTAGTCTACTGAGATTAGAGTAGTGCTATCCGTTCATCGCATCTGAGAGTCCCCTGCAAGAGGTGAACTTCGGACTTCCCATCTACGAAACCCCCAGCGGCATCCCACCGAACGCGGGTTAGTATATCGATGACTGCCCAGCCTCTCCACTATCTGGTGTATATGATGGATCAACGGCCTGCGAAATTGGCCTCGCTACAATCTGTGGGATATCCACCGCCGACATGTGTTCCAGCGTCAGATTCATTGGCCCACGGGGAAACAAGACTTCTCCGTGGGCATGGTAGCAACTACTCTAAACCCAATTGCGAGTGTCACGCTGGGCTAATCCGCGTTCGACGGTGGGACTGCCCCAAAGAAGCACCTCCAGTCGCTCATATGGGGCAGTCTGGTATATGTTGGTCCTCCCCAGGATGACAGCTCGAGCGGGAGCGCCATCCGACGACATGGACCAAAAGGCCCACGCAGTTCATCCCACCTGCCGGAGGGGCATAAGATGATTTTCATATAAGGGATGCCGTGCGGCTTCTGCACATCATAAGTCAAACCAGCTAATGGCCTGGGCACGACATACTTTTCGAGTCGTACGCTCTTGGCAGTCCCTCAATCTCTATCGGTGCAATGACCGTACTGGCGGGTTTTCTGGAAGGGGGAAAAGAAAAAAGCTTGGAGCAGCCCGTTCATCTACTCGGGAATTCGGGACAGGGTTGTTGTTGGTTCTCGGATCCCGGAGTTCTCGGGTCGCACGGGGTTGGGGGCTGACCGTGCGGCGCTCTCGCCGTTCTTTTCGCTACAGACGAGGCGGGCGGCGTGGAGATGATGGATCTTGATGGATCCGGGGCTCCGGACTGGAGACTTCTACAGGCGGCCTTCGTCCTGTCTCCGTCCGACTAAAAGACACCTTATTTTAAGCTAAAAGTGAACAAGAAATAAGTCTGGTTCAACGACAGGTGGGAGGATTGTTGATATCTCTGTCGAAAGTTGCGGTTAACTCCCGTGAACTCTGAGCAAGGAGATTTTGAGTCCTGTTTGTTTGGCCCCTATTAGAGTTTTCGGGCAGCCAAAAGTCTGACTCTCAAACCATCAGTTGACCGATGCTCATCATCTCAGGGGGTGCGCACCGCAACGCTGACTGATCTTCATAAAGTTCAGTGCCAAGAATTGCTGTGCACGCCAAGAATCGTCTGTCTTCATGCAGCCGCCTCAGGATTGACTCGCGAAGGCGTTCAATTACTACGAGACGCTCCTCGCACCAAGAGCGCACATGTCTTGACAACGATTCAGACCCCAAGGTTTGGCGCCAAAGATGCTGTCAAATCTCTTCATACGAACGTCGCTTGGCCTTTCGTGACAGCTGCCACAGACTTCAGACTAGAACGGCAACTTGACGTGCTGGGTCTGTTGTTTCGACGTTTCCTGGGCGAAAGCCATGCGGGCAGCATGTTTGAGATAAAGCTATAGTTATTTTTTAACTTTCATAATGGACTTTTCACACACAAGGCAGTGCTGGATGTGGAGCACAGAGACCCATCGGGCATCAGACCGAAAGTCGACGATGAGGCAACTCTTCGCTTCGGAAGCCGAAGGCACCGTATTCCATAGTATCCCACGCATATGATAGCAGTACATTCTATGAGCGTGCGCCGAAAGCCTATGTCTGTACCTGAAGCTTAGGTCTCGAGCCAAGAGAAACTCATCAGAGTTTGACGATCAGGACTCGAGACTGCCGGCGGTCAACGCTTTGAATAAAACATATTTCGAATAACATTAATTGAGCAAGTATTAAGTAAGATTGAGACGAGTCCCGAGCTCTTTCGTTTTCGTTCGCGACATGTGGTATCCAATGAAAACATGCTGTAACTTCGTACGGGTATCGCAGCTGTGTCGACCAAAACTCCATACTTCGGACCCATTATACCATCTCACCGGCTGAAGAACGACGATTTGCCCTATCATGATGCGATGTCACCGCCTTACGGGGAACACCAACTCCACGGCCGTCCCTGCTAGTGCTGTACCGGGTCCTAACCGTCTTGTCGGTACCGTAGGGCTTTCCTTCCCGTCCTTTGCCCCAGCCTGCCTTACGGGTGGCGACCAGACCGTCGCCGAAAGAGTCGAGATCGTATTCGAGGGGCATCTTGCGGTGGAGAGGAATATGGTTGAAACGCCAGTCCCAGATCGAGGCATACACCATTCGGTATGACGAGAAACCGAACATCGTACCGATCAAGCCGCCGGCCAAGATGTCGTACCAGTTGTGGGACTGGTCGACGGTCAAGGAGCCTCCCACAAGTGTGGCGCCGAGGATGGGGGCGTAGGTAAGGATCAGCTTCCACATGGATGGGTGGTAGTTGGACCACACCTTGAGCTTGGCGTTGAGGTAGAGGTACAGATAGACCATGCCGGCAAACATGGATGTTGTGTGGCCCGATGGAAATGATTCCAATGCGTTGGAAAGGGAACCTCCCATCTCGGCGGTGCAAATGTCGTAGGTATACATGATACCGCCATAGCCTGTGCCGTCGAGACCAGTCGCATTGCCACCTGGTTGGGAGGCTTTGCTGATGTCGGGTTTGCAAACCTCGAGGAAATTGGGGCGGAGACCACCAATCAACCATTTAATCATGACCTGGAACACGGCCGATCCCAGTTGAGCATAGAGCACACCGATGATACCGTTGTTGATGTCCCAGAACGAGCGAATGCGAATCTGGCAGAGGAGTATGACCAGTATTGGGACGCCGACGCCAAGCGCAGTTGCAGCATGGCTGGGGATATATTGCGGAATGGCAGGGTAGGCGAACTGAGGATACACCACTTCGCCGTCTTCGAAAGTGACAGGGAACAGCCGGTGCGCAGGCGGATGGGCTCGAAATACCTGCATTTCACATGTTAGCCGTCATTGGAGATGTTGGGGTCGCGTGCGGTACTGACACCTAAAGCGATGGCGCCCATAGCTATCATCGTCAAGATATCGAGCCACGTCACTTTGAGCCATAGCATGAAAGGAGGTCGGTGAGCCATAGAATACGGCTCACCGCGGTGCCAGCGCTCGTTGATCTTGGTCTCGTCACTGCTTCGGCGGCGATGGGTGGGAAGAGGGGTCTCAGGGTCGTGTCGCCGACGACCAAACAAGTTGAAGCCCGCCATCTTGTTGGATATGGAGATCCTCGGGCAGTCAATCAGAATCGCTGACGCACCTGGCGACGTTCGGGGGAGAGTGCTGCAGGCAGCTACTAGGAAGTGAGAATGCGCAGGTCGACAGAGTGGTTTGGGATACCGATAGGAGCATACAGCGAGAAGGCAGACACAGATGATAAAGGCCGAAGCCTTTGATCATGTCCTCATTCCCAGGCCGTCGCCCAAGTCTTGGCAATCACAGTCATCCTGCTCATTCTGCCTAGGTAAGGTCGTACCTGACGACAAGAGACAGTCGCGACAGCACGCGCTGTGCCAAGTGTTGGTGCTGTGACGTCAGTCACGATCGGCCGGTGCAACTGTCGACAGGCACGCAACGCTTGTCTCTGCTCGCTTACGGGATGCCAAGAAATGCCCTTGACGAGGTGAAGCCACTGGAGGCCAGCAAAAAAAGCTTGGCTGATGCGATTCGGTTCAGCCACATCATTCAATGGCGCATGCTCTGCCTTGAATTTGTGTTTATTGCTATACGGAATGGAACTGTAGCCGTTCATAATTACTTAGTGGGTGACCTTGGGATTGGTGAGTATGTTGCGCTGTTACTCTACTGAGCGGACCTTGCTTGTTCGAGGTCAAACTTAGAGCGTGGCCATCGCTGGACATTGCCACGGTTCCAAAGTCCTTATGCCCGGCCATATAGTCCTTTCCTGCATCGGTTATTTGATGATGGCGGGCGTGCAGGTGCACCTACCCGATGCCCCGTCATCCTCCCGGTGCCGGCTCCGGAATAAGTGGATCATCTCCGATCAACCAGGCGCACTGCCGGTGACTCCAACTCGACCACTTATGCCTACATCCAACGCCTGATTTGTTCTGCAATCAACACAGCTCTCTCTTCCCAAACCAATCCAGCCTGCACAGCTTTCGTGCCTGGGTAATCGATGGTCATAGTCACAGTTTTTACGGACGAGAGACTCTCCATGAAAGCAAGTTGAGTATATACGGTTGAATATGTACACTGAAGTATTGAATTGAATATCCATGAAGCTTGAACTTCTTTCCCTTATCTCTTGCATCACTGAGACTACCGTATTGGCCAGAGCCTCACCAAAACCCGCCCCTATCGCCAACCGCTCAAGGAGCGTACGTCTTGAGCAAGCTGTTGTAGTACTTGTATCCCGTGCCGCTGGGAGGCTCGAAGGAATAGATGTAGTCGCCCCACCAAGGGCCGGCAGACCACCAAAGGGCGCCTGCTTCGTCAGTCTCGTATTCATGAGGGTTCGAAAGAAGCCAGACTCACCAGTCCACACGTCGCTGTTAGCCTTGAGGTAATCCAGCATGCCCTTCACAGCAGTCTGGCACTGCGTGTTCGCGCCACCAGCAAACTCTCCCAGGATACCAATCTTTCCGTTCTGTCTCAGCCAGGTCGTCGCCGCAGTGACCCTTTCAACCCCAATCGTAGTCGACACACAAGCATCCGACGTCCCAGAGCTATCCGAATCAAGGTACTGATGCATCTCGTACACGATCTTATTCTGCGGATCCGTCAACGCCTTCATGTTATCGTTGACAGTCGTCCACGACCACGCCCCGGACCACTGGTTCCCCTCGACAAAGATGTACTGCGTCGCCCCCGCGGCGCGGATGCCGTTGATCGCCGCCTGGTTGAGGTTGAGCACCAGCGTCTGGTCCATCGTGTTGTACTCGTTGTTCGTGTCAAAGATCACGTGGTCGTTGCCCTTGAACTGCGTCGCGAAGTTCTTCCACCACGTCTGGAAGCCCGCCGTGTCGGTGATGATGGCGTCGTTGAAGCGCCCGTAGTTGTGCGGGTCCAGCACCGCCCAGCCCCCGCTGGAGGTGATGTGGTTGATCACGGCGGTGAAGTTCGCGAGGTAGGCGGTGTTGAAGGCGCCGGTCAGGCCGGATGGGGTCAGGCGCTCCATCTTGAACTGCACGCGGAAGGTGTTGTAGCCCTGCCCGCGGAGGGTCTACTCGCTTTGTCAGTATATGGAAGTGGCTGGTCTGAAAGTTGGGGACTGCTTACGGTAATGGTGGCAGGGTCAGGGAAGATGAACTCCTTGCCCCATGTGCCGGGCAGCGTCTTCTCGCCAAACTCGCCGCCGGCCTCGTTGGTGCCGAACCACCTCCAACTGCCGGCACCGGGGGCCGCAGTGGAAGTGGGCTTGACGGAGGTAGCCAGGGTCGTCGAGGCCGGCGGGTTGCTAGAGCCGGAGCCGGGAAGGCACTGGCTGTACCACTGGTTGGAGACGGTGCAGGTGTACCCGGAGACGCAGGTGGTTGCGCCGGTCCAGCCAGAGCCGCCGCACTGGGCGTAGGCGCCGGCTTGCGCGGCTGCTCCGCTGACAAGAGCGCCAAGGGCGATGATGGACCTCATATTGGGCTTGGTTTCGTGGTTGGAACTTGAGGGATGCAGAGAGGGCAATGTCTCGGCAGCTAGCCTTGGCTATGGTTGTTTATATATATCTGGGGTACGTCGCCAAGATCCCCCTTCCCCTCTGGCCGCGCAGTCTCATGGAACCCTCCATTCCGTGGCGCCATTCCTATTCTACCATCATCCTCTCTGAAGCCCCGTGGGGTCGCAGATGCCTTCCGGTTGGCCGCCGGTTCGGCAAGAACCGTCCCAATATGAACGTCCCAGGGGTATGTACTCCATCCTGTCGGCTGTTGAAGCCGTTGAACCACGGTCACGATCAGGGATCACCCCCCGGTAGAATTTCTCTTTCGAGTCCCGGGATATCTGGAGCCGCACTTGTCGTTGCTGGCGTGGATGAGCGAGCAGGCAACATCGGACCGGTTCGCTGGGATTAGCCCATGTGCCGGGGCCGGCAAGCAGGTGACCGCTGGCGAATGCGACCAATGGGCGGGGAGGTCATTTCCGAGAGCGGTCGAACGGGGCAGCTTTTGGGGTGAAGAACTTTAACAGGGCGTTTTTAAGGATGTTGGTGCGTGCCGGAGTGTGAGCCTCCGAGGTTGCATCGGGCCATCGGACGGCACGTCGGGGGACACATGACTACGACTCGAGCATCACTCGGTACCGAAGATTTTTTGATTGGGCTTTGTTGGCGTTTCCACCAGTTACGTGTATGGGCGAAATGAAATCGCAGTGTTGTCAAGAAGGGCAATTTTCGGCATCAAGGGCCTTTGGTTCCTGGCGCGATTCTGGTCGGATGGAGCATGAGTGAGCAGAGGCGAGGTGAATGTCACGAGACTCACTCAAAGACCACAGTCTGAACCGCTTGGACTGAGATGATTTGGCTTCACGGTGACTCGACGTTGAAAATGCAAGCCATCGGAGACTTCATTTCTTGGCGCCTGGGGCTGCAGTTGATGGGCGCGTCTGGTGCTACCACCCTGAAAGCAGATGCCGGAAACAGTCTCCCCGAGGTGCAGCAAAGCAGAATTTGAGGCTGTGAGCGTTGGACCTGGTTAACGTCTTCAAAGCGTGGCGACCTGGATCATGTAGGCTGCTGTGGCGGGGTGTCTGGGTAGTCGCTCGTAGTCACGCCTTTCAACGTTTGGCAATAGGTCAATCGACAAGTTGCGGATATTTGAAGACCATAATAAAGATGTCGTATGGTTCTGCCAGTGACTCACTGTCTACCATGTAGTCGAACGAGTCCGACATGAAGGCTCCACTCGACGAATGACTTTAAGTTCAAAAGGCCCGCACAGTTGTCGAGCCAAAAGAATGCAGGTGATATTCCCCGTAACTGGAGATATGAGCCTCATGCCACACAATCAGTCGCATTCTTGTCCTGATGCCTGCCAGCTGTCGCCAGTAATAGTTCAAATACACACCGTAATCAAGTCCCGTGGGCCTGTATTCTACAAGTCGTCTCTATCCAGCCCGCGCTTGTAAGCTGATAACGCCCGCTCGCGACACCCCTTGTGCTCTACCATCTGCTCAGGGTAACCGGCCTTCTTCGCCTGCGCTCCAGCGCCGCGACCGTACGGATCGTGGATAGCCTTTCCTTTGACCCCCTTGAGCTCAGGCACCCACTTCCGGATATAGTCGCCGTTAGGGTCAAACTTCTCGCTCTGTAGTAGTGGGTTGAAGATGCGGAAGTACGGCTGCGGGTCGACGCCCACGCTCGCGGAGAAGCCCCAGCCGCCGTTGTTCGAGGCAAAGTCGCCGTCAATCAGGTTCTCCATGAAGTGGCGCTCGCCCATGCGCCAGTCGATGAGGAGGTCTTTCGCGAGGAAGCAGGCGACGATCATGCGACATCGGTTATGCATCCAGCCCATCTCGTGCATCTGGCGCATCGCGGCGTCGACGATGGGGAAGCCCGTCTTGCCATCGCACCATGCCTTGAAGTCATCCATGTCGTAAGACCACTCGATGTTTGCGTACTCGGGCTTGAAGGGCTTGTTCATGCTGGAGGCAGCCGGTCAGCGATCATGACGTCTCTGTTCAAAGGGAGGATACTCAACGTACCACACGAAGGGCCAGTTCACCAGGACGTGCTTGTAAAAGTCTCGCCACGCCACTTCGCTGATCCACACTCGAATGCCCTCGTTGCCGGCGTCCAGCTTCTTGGTCTTGTTCCGGTCTCGCGCGTAGCGCACACACGTCCTCGAGCTGATGGTTCCACTGGCCAGGTGCACTGAGAGAGTCGAGGTCCCGGCGTCATAGGGGATGTTGCGCTTGTTGTGATACTGGCCAACCTTTTCCTCACAGAACTTCTCCAGACGGCTCCGTGCCTCGTGCTCCCCGGGCGGGAAGAAGGCTCTAAACCGTTTCTTGTCATCGTCTTTCAAGGTCCTGCCCTCCACCTCTTCCGGGATCTCCGTGTCGAACAGCTCCCCAAACTTCTTTCGCGCGCTAGCTGGGTTCTTCGCGGGGGGGTCGTAGAGCTCTAAAAGGTCCAAGTTCTCGTGGACGTGGCGCACCCAGGCGCGGAACCAGGGAGAGTAAACGGCGTACTGTTTGCCGGATCCGCTCGTCAACTGCCCTGGCGGGACTACGCACGTATCGTGCAAGACCTCGTATG